GGCAGCAGTACCGACTTTAGGTCGCCAGCTCGCACGGGAGCCTTAGAAGGCTTGACCAGCAAGGACGTCCATGTAGTCTATTGGCTGCCAACTCCCGTGGAAGCTACGAAGAGCTCATATTTGTAGAGGGGACTCGCGAAGAGGACTGATGAGGCTTTATTCGAATTGAAATAAAGTTGGTAGAGTTGCTTAGTCTGTTAGCTATCAACTTCCTGCATAGTCTTTGAATTCATAAAAAATGGAAACTATAAAGCGAGAGCTTTAGTTTCTAAAAAGTGAGGACTTATCTTTCTAGAAGAAGAGGACTTAGCCTTTTAGAGGATGAGAAAGCTTTTTAGCGTTTCCCACAGACGGCGCCAATTGATGAATCAATTTTTTGGGCTAAGTATCGATCTTTTGGCTAAGTACCTTGTCATTTGGTTTGCTTCCAAGTGGCCGATGACTCAGGCTGAAGTGGAGAACTTTGGCTGTCAAGCTAAGTCGAGCTGTGTAGGCTAGATGGCAAGCTGACTATAGTGTCGAGTTACATGTGAGGTGCTGGGCTGACCAGGCGGCAAGCTGCCTGTGAGGCACCGGGCTGACCAGGTGCAGGGCTGCCTATGAGGTGCCGAGCTGACCAGGTGCCGGGCTGCCTGTGAGGTGCTAGGCTGACCAGAGGGCCGAGCTGCCTGGTGGCGAGATGAATTGATGAGCTTCGTTGCTCTTTAGAGACCTGCAAGGAACCAAATGTCAGAGGACCCAAGGTGGCTAGGTCGCTCTGATGCTTAAGTCAGTGCTATCATAGTAGATTGCGAGCTAAAAATCACAAAGTCTGTGAGCTAGAACTTGCTTACTTGCTTGCCTCTCCCTTGTCATTGGGGTTGGTGCCTTTCTATAGGCATTGCTCACGTATCGCCCACGAGATTTTCGGGAGGTTGTGTCTAACTGGTCCGAGATCCTCAGAGGTAACTGCCATGCACGTTGACCATCTTCCGGAACGAGGGCCAACGTCCAAGGATCGTGGGGTATGCATGTCGAATTTGTCGGCAGGCACATCTCGCAGGTTGCCAGGTCGGCGCATGTGCTAGGTTGCTAGGCCGCCAAGTTGGACACCATCAACTTGGCAAGTTGTTGCCAAAGTGGTTTCGGGTGACACCTAGTTGTTCTGATGTGTCATGTGTCACAATATCATTGGAGGGCAAAATCCGCCCTCATTAGTTTTAAAATACCAACAATTAATTAAAAATCCAAAAAATTTTGAAAAACCTAAACATAATTAAAATACTAAAGTAATTAAAAATATTGAAAATTAACAATATTTTATATTAATATGGGTATTTACTAAAAATTATTAAAAAGTACAATTAATAGTATTTTATTATTAAAAATAACAAAAATTATAAAAACATACTCAAGCCATGAATTATCTTAAAGTATTGAGAATTATCTGTATTTTTTATTAACTATGGTATTTATTTAGTTATTTAATTTATTTTTACTGAAAGAAAATGCAAATTAATTTTGTAGTGACTAATATGCAAAAATAAATAATGAAAATACTGAAAATTATTGAAAAATACTCATATGCAAAAATTACTGAATAATAATGAAAAAACACCAAAATTAATTAAAAATCCAAAAATTCTGAAAAACCTAAAACTTAATTAAAATACTACAAATAATTAAAAAAATAAATCAATTGTATTTTATTGCAAAAACTACTGAATAATAATGAAATAATAATGTATTTTAATTATTAATAGTAATATAATTAACAATAATTATTTTTAAACTGTAATTATATTTTAATCTATAAATAGTAGAAAATTACATTTAATTAGTTTTAGCCAAGAAATTAGCAATATTTCTGAAAATATGATAATTTCTAGAAATTATTGCATTTTAAATAAATATAGTAATTTAATATTTATAATATTTTAATAGCTAAAAATATTTTAATAATTAATAATAAAAAGTAACAAATCATTTATAACTTAAACATAACTTGATTAGATCCAAAGTCTTTGAATCCTTTTAACATTAAATGAATATAATTATTAAAATTTTAAATATTAACAATAACTTTGAATGCTTTTAGTTAATTAACAACAAATTTTGATTATTAATTTAAGGATAAATCTCTTAAATTACCCCTTTTCAAGAAATTGACAAACTGTTTAGATATTGCCTTGCCCTACCCTAGTTTTCTGACAATTGTGACCGTCTTAACATAAGAAAACAAAATGTCACATTTGCCCTTTACTATTTATCAAATTTTCAAAATAAAACCGAACTGATGAAAAACCCTGGTTTCCAAGATTTTTCAAAGCTTTGCTTGAAAAAGAAATCCAATACCTCTTTGTTCTCGTGCGATTGTTCATCCTACACCTCGCTCAAGTATGCACCAAACCCTCAATAGAAATAGCGCTGAGTTCCGATACCTCCACCAGCTCCTCCGCCACCGAGTTTCAATACCTCCCAGATCCTGAAATCATAGTTGTCTGTCTCAAGCGCGTCAGTTCTAGGGGAGAGAAACGGAGCTGAATTCGAATGATCATAGCAAGGCAAGAGTGGTTTTGTAGGCTTTTTCTGGGTGTTGAAGAAAAAGTTAACACCAGCTACCTGCGCTAACTTCAATCCAGACCGAAGTTGAAGAAAAATTTAACACCATCAACAATAGAAAAATGTATTAGTAATTAGAGGCTGGAGATTAAAATAAAAAAAAATCTAAAAAAATTCAAGAAAATAAAGTTAAATCTTGAGGGGTTGGAGATCGTGGGGTGCAACTTCACTATTGTTATTGCGGTGGCTGTTGTTACTGCGCATATCTTGTGGGAGAAAACTGGTCAGAACTGAGTTGAAGATGAAACCAACATCATTGGATTTTCTCAGATGCCAGCCCAACAGCTGCAGAGCGACTATTTCAATTTCAGCAGCTGAAAAGAATACAGAATTAGAATTACAGATACAATCACAGGACATACAGAGTGAACAACACCAATGAACATATCTCTCTGACTCTAACTGATCAAAGAGTGTAAGAGGGAGTTAGACTGGGTTGGAGAAGCATTCCTTTAATTGGGAATTTTGGAACTTGTTCTCCCTTAATACAACTACAACCTTCAATCCAAACCCATTCCCATCTACCCTTTTCTGCAACTTCTGTCCAAAGCAACAATTCAGACCCAAGATCCCTGTACAAGTATACAGCCTCATCAATCCCCACACAATTGGTACTAAACCAGTTTCCTTTGCCCCCAAGAAACCTCCTTCCCAATTCCGTTGGCACCATTTCCACCAACACCCATTCATCTCCAGCTCGAAGCTCCCATATGCAAGTTTGTCCCTCACAGTCTCCCCCAACAAGCGCCAGCCTTCCCTTTCGCCTCACCAGAGCTGCGAACTCCAGTCGATCTGCCTTCGACACCTTCACCTCCTTCCAGAAACCAGTGCTCACCTCGAAGCCCATCACGCTGTAGGCACGGGCAGATGTCATCCAATACAGAAACCCATCAGAGTACACACTCTCATTCGGCATCCATCCAAGACTCTGCCATTTATCAGCTCGTGAATCATATATTTCCATCGTGGGTTCATATGTGGTACCCCCACGGGTTGCCATCAACATGCCTCCAACGACGTAAACTCTGAAGGAGGAGGGGGTATCATCTCCTGTCTTAGCCACCCCAATTATGCCCACAACCGTGGCTAGTGCGTGGGGTGTTTAAGGCGGAAAGAAGTCTGTGACGTCTGGTGAACAGATTACACAACGCCAATTAGAGGGGAGATGAGATGGCGGGTCTGTAGAGGAGAATGCCAATCGGAGCAATTGGGCGAATTGGGTCCGGGAGGGAGTCGAAAGGGAGAGAGTGCCACCGATCAAGAGCTGGGTTGTGAATGTAGCAGGAGAGCCTCCGGTTGTGCGAATGAACGGCGAGGAACCACGGAGTTTGGCACGGCCAGAGCCCTGTTGAGACTGTATAGGAAGGGCAAGTCTTTGGCACACGTCTGCCGGTTCTCGCAGGCTGTTGTAGCACGAGCCTAGGAGTCCGGTGAAAGGAATGAGGAGAAACACAAAAGCTGAGTGAAGAAAGGTTTCTCATTAAAAACAGAAAACCAGTGGCCGATACCGGGACTAGCTCCATGACTCTCTTCACCTCTTTCTCACCAAAATTTTGCGGGTCGGGCAGTGGCCGCCGTTGCCTATAACGATGATTCCAAAATCACCGCCACCCATAACAGTAAGGGTATTTTAGAAATTTTAAAATGATTATCACTCACGACAAAAAAAAGTTTTAGACAATTGTCCGAAAGTAAGGGTACCATAAAATAATATAGTTTGTCAATTTTATAAATAGTAGGGGTAATTTAAGAGTTTTAACTTTAATTTAATATTAATTAATAATAAATAAAACTATTAAATTTTTTAGATTTTTCCGTACATCGTATGAATAATGGATTAAAGAAATGGAATAACAAGAGCCAACTGAACGAGTCGAAGGAGTTTCAATGATGGGAGATTGAAACAGGAGGAAGAAAATGGCAAATGGCTAAAATGGGCGTTTGGAAAATTTTGATGCATCAGTTTAACGTTTCCCATACAGGTCATTAATGGAAGGGTGATATTTGTTGAATTTTTAAAAGTTTAAGAGAGGTTTTGTTAAAATGAAATTAAAATGAGGTTTTCATCATTGTCAAAAGCTTTAAGGGGGGGTTTTTGTATTTAAAAAATAATTAATATTTATGTAAGCTTTTTAGATTTTTTTGGGTAAATTAGAGATAGGTAAGTTGTAATTTGGGAGTAGTGAAAATTGACAAGTACACCTCAACTTTCAAGTGCAATATTTTGAATATTCTGAACTTTAAAAAATAGACACTTGACTCACGATAACGATAAGGACATTTTTTAGATTATGTAATGTTTAACTGACGGAATAATAACGAATGCATTCATCACAAAATCTAAATCTGAACCGTTGAAAAGGACTAGAAAAATAGAATACCAGACGTCCAGGCCAGAGCAAGTAACATCGATAAATATCTTGGCTTCACTATCCTGGGGGAGAGAGAGAGCGAGAGCCTTCAGAGTAATAAACGGCATAGGTGACGACTGACGAAGACGACGACCATGTGCACGTTAGAAAAGCGCGGTAACATTTTCCTTCTAACTCTAGTCGGCGACGATGAGCACCGATTGAGCCCCAACCTCATCGGCGAGATTGGGTCGGCTCTAAGCCAAGTCCGTGCGGAGGCCACGCGCGGTTCGGTCCTTGTCACCACCGGCCAGGGCAAGTTCTTCTCCAATGGCTTCGATCTCGCCTGGGCTGAGTCCGCCGGGTCCAACGGCCTCCTCCACCGGCTCCGGCACATGATCGACAGCTTAAAGCTAATCGTGGCTGAACTGCTCTCCCTCCCTATGCCCACTATAGCCGCCGTATCGGGCCACGCGGCTGCTGCCGGGTTCGTTCTCGCGCTGAGTCACGACTACATCTTGATGAGGAAGGACAGGGGGGTCCTCTACATGAGCGAGCTCGACATCGGGCTTACCCTTCCCGACTACTTCATGGCATTGTTGAGAGAAAAGATCCAATCGCCGATGGCTCGGCGCGACGTGGTTCTACAGGCCGCGAAGGTGAAGGCAGAGGCGGCGGTCAAAATGGGGATCATAGACTCGGCACACGATAGCGCGGCGGAGGCTCTGGAAGCGGCGCTGCGCATGGGTGAGAAGTTGGCCGCTAGGAATTGGGACGGAGGGATTTATGCTGATATACGGAAGTCGTCGTTTCCGGAACTCTGCGTAGTGCTCGGGCTACAGAGTAAGACCAGCGTCACAGCACGGCTTTGAAATTAAAAATAGAAAATCTCGGTGGTGGTCACCGGCGGTGGTTTGGCGTTCACAGGATATAATATTATTTCATTTTCGTCACGCAATGATTTCTTAGTCTAATACATCCGTCTATGGGCTATGGCCAAAAAAACATATCGTCTATGTATTGCGTTTGGTATTTCTGCTTAACTGCTTATCTACTGTTTGAAAATAATACAGGAGTAAATGTAGCTCAAATCCGCCAATAGTATTTTATCAAGTCACGTAACGTAAGGGAGCCCAATTAAGTTAATTTTTAATAGCGTTTTTAATGATTTGAATAATTTATTAAAGGAAAATTCTCGATTAGTAACTCACTAACTTGTATTTTGTGTCTAAGTGTCATTTTGGTTCTTGAATTATTTATATCGTTAATCAGTTGTTAATTGTTAATCAGTCGTTAAATAGTTTTTGAAAAAGAAACAAATGCCCTTGAGTGCCATCTAACTTTTTTTATAAACTATTCAAACCTTGAGAAAAAATTATCCCAATTCCTTATTTCTTCTATGCAAGAAAGTTGGGGTCACATCTCAATGCTCATTTTGAATCCCAACTTTCTTTAATAAAAGAAGCAAGGATTTAAAACTATTAATTTTTTGTCAATGTTTGCATAGTTAATAATAAAAATTAGATGACACTTGAAGGATATTTGTATCTTTTCCAAAGGTATTTAATGAATGGTTAGCCAATGGCTAATGGTAGGTATTAAATTGTCACATTTTGAAGTTTGGGGACCAAAGTGGCACTAGGCCCAAAGTGGGGGTTAACTGAATTGTGGAGCATTTTTTGTAACTAAATCGGTATTACTAGTTCGGTTAATCGTTGATTTTTCGATTTTTATTTTTACAATATATATTATAAATATATATATATATATATAAAATAAAAATTATAAATATATATAATGCATATTTATTAATTTATAATATATAATATACATACATATATATATAAAAATATATAGAAATATATGTATACTGGTTGATTCGATTAACCATCGGTTTTCTATATTGATTTACCAAAACCGAACCGATCGGTTCGGTTAACCGATTTCTTGGTTCAATTTTGGTTAATTTAGTTTTTTCGATTTTTTTTTTGCTCACCCCTAACCCAAAGTACATGGTACTAATCAGGAATTTTCCCATTCATTAATTGTTAAAATTTGAAAACCCCCAAGGTCCAAATTCCTATTTCGTTTGTATTGTAGTTTTTGCACTCCCTTCTTTCTCCCACTCTCTTCTTGCCTCCTCCTCTTCCCCCTGTTACACCGTCCATCGGTGCACATCTTCTCCTATATTTGGCAACATAGATGGAATCGTTGTTGCTGGAGTGTTTGCAGTTGGTGCCGGGCTTGGTGAGTTTGATTGATGAATGGAATGACCAATAGTATGCCGGCCGGAATGAACAAGACAATCCCGTCAGAGGATAGCGGAGGTGCTAGTGGTGTTAGAGACTAGCATCAGAGCCAAGTTACCAGGTGGAGTTGGCAATACCTTTATGGAGAGCTTCTCAGCCTGTAAACGGTCTTTCATGAGCCGTTGTTGAAAGAAAAGTAGGCATAGCCGGGGACCGATGGGTGCCATTAAGTGCTTGTTTGGCAAGTCTTTTCCAAAAGGTCTGTTATAAGATCTGATGATTAAAAGACGGGTGAGCTTTTGCAAATAGATCTTGGAAGCTGTTTGGTAATGTGCATGTCTTGTGTGTGGGCCAACAAACCTTTCATTTAACATGTGAGACCCACATACTATTGGTGGACATGTATGTGGGGCCCATGTACATTTTACAAGGTGGGCCTAGCATACTATTTCCATGCATGTGGGGTCCATGTATGGACATGTATGTGGGGCCCACGTACATTTTACAAGGTGGGCCCAACATACCATTGGTGGCCATGCATGTGGGGTCCATGTGTGGATATGTATGTGGGGCCCACATACATTTTACAAGGTGGGCCCTACATCCCAATGGTGGACATCAATGTGTAGGCATGTATGTGGGGCCCATGTACATTTTACAGGGTGGGGCTGACATTCCATTAGTGGACATGCATGTGGGGTCCTTATGTCAACATGTATGTGGGGCCCACATACATTTTACAAGGTAGGCCCGACATACCATTGGTGGCCATGCATATGGGGTCCATGTGTGGACATGTGGGGCCCACATACATTTTACAAGGTGGGCCCCACACCCCATTGGTGGACGTGCATGTGTGGACATGTATGTGGGGCCCACATACATTTTTCAAGGTGGGCCCCACATACAATTGGTGGACATGTATGTAGGGTACATGCGTGGACATGTATATGGGGCGCACATACATTTTTCAAGGTGGACCCCACATACCATTGGTGGACATGCATGTAGGGTCCATGTGTGGACATGTATGTGGAGCCCACATACATTAAAGGTGGGCCCCACATACCATTGGTGGACATGCATGTAGGGTCCATGTGTGGACATGTATGTGGNGTGGACATGTATGTGGAGCCCACATACATTAAAGGTGGGCCCCACATACCATTGGTGGACATGCATGTAGGGTCCATGTGTGGACATGTATGTGGGGTCCACATATTTTACAAGGTGGGCCCCACATACAATTGGTGGACATGTATGTAAGGTCCATGTGTGGACATGTATGTGGGGTACACATACATTTTGCAAGGTGGGCCCCATATGCCATTGGTGGATATGCATGTGGGTCCATGTGTGAACATGTATGTGGGGCCCACATACATTTTACAAGATGGGTCCCACATAATACCTAATGTGGGTCCCACATACATTTTTCCAAGTGGGCCCCACATACCATCTGTAGATCCCATTTACATATTCAAATAGTTTTTATGGAAAGATAACCCATTTTTGAAGAAAACGGGGTGCTAAAAGACCGTAAAAGATTCATTTGAAGCTTCCCGAAAAAGCCTAAATTTGGGCTTATGATGTTTTTTATTGGTTGGAACTTTTCCCAAATAGATCTTTTGGTTGCCAAACGAGAAAAGCCCAGAATTCAAACTTTCGGGCTTCTAAACAGCCTGAAGTCCTCATAACCAATTGGACCTGAAAAACTGAGAAGATGTTACCATTTTCATCTCAGTACACCCCACACTTGACTCTTGAATTTCCAATAAAGGAGCCAACAAAATTAAATTAATCCTTCCAGCTATAAATGGAGACCACACTATGAAATACAACTGTCATGCCCAGAATAGGTGCTAACCGCAAAAGACCTTTTTTTAACAATTTTGCCCAGAATAGCCTTTCACTCAATGTCCCCTCTTTAGTTGAAGTATCATCTAGACCATTGGATGATTTTATAGTCCATTTGAAAGAAGCCCCAATCTCCTTTGTTATGTTGGTGGTCTCCCTTTATAGCATGTCTATATATCCAAGCTCCCAAGCTGCTAGACTTCAACCAAACAATGAGCATTTTAGAGTCTCCTTCTACCACTATTTATTTTTCCACATTTAAACCACTGTAAGAAGAAATAGTCCATCCATCTTGAGATAATGGATTTGGAATGTTGAGATCCACCAAACAACTTCAAATCATGATATGGTAACTTTGTCTCAAGCATTTTAGTGTAAGTTGAGGAGACATGTTATTTGATCATTCTCCACAAACTTTCATATAACAACTAATTTCACATGTTTACAACAGATATTTTCAGATTTTCAATAATTGTTGGTGTAAGTAGGGTTTGAATAATTGTTATAATCTATTGGAGAGATATTTTCTTTGAAACAGTTAAAATTTGGAAATTTGAAACACAAAAACTAAATATATCTGATGCTGTGATCTGGGCACTCTTATCTGGCGGACACCTGGCTCCTAGTTAGTGACGGACAGTACCTGAGACGATGAAGAAGGTGAAGAACTCCAGAGGAGCTCGCCCGGTGGGAACACTTCGATGCTTAAGTTAGAATTCGAAGAAAGCTGAAGAATGCGAATAAAGAGCTGAGAGTGCAGATAGCGCAAGTTCAATACCTTTCTCTTCGAGGGTCGGGGTCTTTTTATATTGAAGTTCTCTCAAATCAGGTGTAATTGACTCTGCCACAGCCGTTATTGCCAGAGCCGAGGTGGCAGATGTGGGCAGCCGTTGCAGGGTACGGACCTATCAGGCATGCCACATCTGGCAGAAGTGGCAGGCACGACGCCGCCTGACAAGAGACGTGGGTGCAGCCTCCGAATTCGGCAGGTACTATTGTCAAACAGATCTTTTCTGTAGGTTGCCGAGCTGCTTTGCACCAAACTGCCTTGGTCCGAGCTACCCTACACCGAGGTGCTGGGGCAGCCGAGGTTCGAGTGCTCGAGTCGAGCCTTAGGAAAATATGGGTAGGAGCGTTAATGGGACTATCTCGAAGTGTCCCCACTTTGGGATACTTCCCGTAGACTGGGGTGTTCCCTTCTCAGGAAAGAAGAGTTCGGGTCTCGAGAGGAGCTCGGAATTCCTCCTCCCTTAGGGAGAATTCGGAGTATGCTAGATGTTTCTTCTCGGCAAGCTGCCACGTCCGCCGAGTTGCATTGCTGGGCTCTGGTGAGTTCAGTACGCCGAGTTATGGCCAGGCTGCCATGCTGAGCTGTCACCTATGCCAAGTTGTACCCAAGTGTCCCCGTGCTATGAGGTCGGGCCAAATCACCATCCATCAATTGCCCCCCACTCCCCGTGTTGGGGGTTCTGACCTAGTGCGGGGAGTCCGTAGTGTGCCAGGTGGATTTGGCTCGGAGCTCTAGCCTCCTGGTCAGGCGGCTTAGGGGTCAGACCAGTTCACTGTTCAGCTCGATCAAGGGCAATTCGGGTCGCGTATAGTCTATGCGCAGACGTCACGCGATCTATGAACTCCACGAACGTCAAAAAATGCGCTAAACCGATTTCACCTCAAGGGTCACGTAGCCGATTTTCTTGAGAGCCATCAGATCGTCTTGATCTTGACCGTTGATGCCCAAGTACAGTGGCTTCAAATAGCGGGGGTCCTAGTCATTTTCCATCGCCATAAGTCCTTAGCACTTGTCTTGAGCTCGCGTCTAAGGTCTTCAGCTCGGGTCAATTATTCCTAGTTCAGTTGCTTTCCTTGGTGAGTCTCCTTTGCTTTTCTTTCAACTTCCTTTCCTTCACTATGTCTAGTTTTTATAGTCAACTGGATGA